TATTTCTTAGAGCAAGGTCTTTTATGAAAACAACTAAGAAAGAAATACCATCTATCATTTATGCAACTCCAACTTATGAAGAAATAAGCTTATTAGTAAGTATCCTAAAACAATATGAGGAGTTTCAAGTTGTTTTCAAAAAAAAATATTAATATATTGCCAGAGCATCAATTGCATGATTATGCCATCGATCTTCAAAAAAGGGCTCAACCACCATTTGGTACAATCTACAACCTATTACAAAATGAGATTTTGGCATTGAAGAATTACATCAATAAAAATCTTGTAAAGAACTTTATTTGGTATTCCAAATTTCTAGAAGTGCACCAATATTTTTTGTGAAGAAAAAAGATGAAACTTTATAAATGTGTATTAATTATCATGGCCTCAATAAAATAACATTGAAGAATTGTTATCCATTACTATTGATATTAAGGCTTTTGGAGCAACACAATCAAGGTAAGATCTATATTAAAATAGATCTCCATAGAGCGTATAATTTGATATAAATTAAAAAAGAGGATGAATGAAAGACAAAATTTTTATTGAAATATGGACATTTTGAATATAATGTCATGCCTTTTGGATTGCAAAATGCTCTAGCTATATTTCAACATTTGATGAATGATATTTTTTATAATTTATAGACAAGTTTATTGTTTATTAACTTGATGATATTTTAATCTATTCTAAGATTCTTGAAGAATATCAAGAATATATAAGATTAATCTTACAACAATTATGAAATATATGATTATATGCCAAATTTAAAAAATATTTATTCTATCAACCAAAGTAGAATTTTTTGGATATATTATATCTAATGAAAGCTTTTGATAGACTAAAAGAAAGTTGAAGTTGTAATAGAATAGACAATTCTAAAGACAATATAAGATGTACAATATTTTCTTAGATTTGATAATTTTTATCAAATATTTATCAAAAATTATTCTTAAGTTGTTGCTTTTTTCATTCAATTGACATCCAAAGACAAATTAAAATAGAGATCTTATACACAAAAGATTTTTCAAAATTTGAAAGTATTTTTTATTATAGCTCTAATTTTAATGCATCTAGATTTCACAAAAGTCTTTTATTTGAAAATTGATGTTTTTGACTTTGTATTAGAAGATGTACTATCACAAATAAGAAAGGATGAAAAGTTCTATCTAATTGCATTCTATTCTAAAAAGTTTTCAACTACAGAGATTAATTATGAGATTTACAATAAAAAACTTAGTATGATTATAGATACTTTTCAAAAATGACATTATTTGCTAGAAGGCACTACATATCCTATGATTATATATATAAATTATAAAAACTTAGAATATTTCATGTCAAATTGAATTTTGAATTATTGCCAACCTTATTGGAATATGTCATTATTTTATTTTGATTTTGTAATTACATATCAACTAAAGAAGCAACAAGGACTATCATACATTTTATTAAAGAGATCATATCTTGCTCCAAAGATCAAAGAAGCAGCATTTTATCAACAATATACCACTCTCTTGAAGCCAGAATAATTTTATCTTTATGCTACTTCTATAATTACACTTATTGATTTAAGTTTTCTTGAATAAATTCTTACAGTGTCAACAAAGGAATCATTAGTTTGTAATATTAAAGAGTGCCTTGACAACAACAAGTTTAAGTTTGTGAAAGATCTTTTATATTACAAAGATTGTTTATATATTCAAAAAGAGCTAATGAATTCATGTTCTTCAATCTCATCATGATTTTTCAGCTACAAAATATTTTGGGTTTAAAAAAAAATTAACACTTATCTCTTAAGATTTTTAGTGACCTCAAATGTAGAAGACTGTAAAAGACTTTGTCATCTCGTGTGATATATATTGAAGAACCAAGAATTCTTGTCATAGTCTTTATAGACTTTTACAACCATTGCCAATTTCAAAGTAACCATGGTCTTTAGTATCAATGGATTTCATCAATAATTTGCTCCCATCAATTACATTTGATACCATCTATATTGTTGTGAATTGACTTAAAAAGATGGCACATTTTGTCTCATACAAAAGAATAATTTTTGGAGAAGAAACAGCAAGGCTTTTTTTTTATAATATATATATATATATATATATATATATATATATATATATATATATATTATGACCTACTTAATGACATCATTTTTGATTGAGGATCTCAATTCATATCAAAGTTTTAAAAATTCTTTTTTGAAATATTGAAGGTAGATATCAAACTTTTTTTTGCCTTCCACCTTCAAATCAATGGTCAAACAAAAGAAGTCAATCAATTTTTGAAGCAATATTTGTGATGTACTATCAACTATCAATAAGATGATTGGACTTCATATTTATTTTTAATAAAGTTTACTCATAATAATATTCTTTATGCTTCAATTCAATAAACACTATTTTAAACCAATTATGGTTACCATTTAAAGCTTTATTTGTTAAATATACTTTAGGATGAAAATCGAGTAGTTGAAGATCTTGCAAAATAATAGTCACAACTCTAGATAACTTTGAAGCTCTATTTACAAGTAGCTCAAGATTCTTACAAAACATCTTCAGATAAATTTAGAAAAGAATTTCTTATTTTTTAAGTTGGAAATAAAGTATGGTTTCTTTGACAAAATATTAAGATTAATCAACCTTGCAATAAGTTAGACTACCAAAGATAGGAGCCATTTTATATTAAAAAGTAAATCAATCTAGTAGCATATTAGTTGGAACTACCCACATCCATAAAAGTACATCTAGTCTTTCATGTTTCTCTCTTAGAAGTTTATTTAGAATGAACTATTGTAAGAAGAATCCAACCATCACTACCTTACATTGAAATACATAATCATGTAGAAGATGAAGTAGAAAAGGTCAATGATTCTTGGCAAAGAAGAAGCAAATTGGAATATTTTTTTTCTTGGTGCAGCTATGATATCAATGAGTATACATGGGAATTAGCAACAAATCTAGTTAATACACTACAAAAGATTCAAGAGTTTTATCAACACTATTCTCAAAAATCTAAACCTATTTTAAGATGACTTCTCTATGAAGCTATTATTAGAATATTATATATAACAAAGAGAATAAGTATTGCTCATAGCAATCTTAGAGTTTAGTGTATCCAATTTATGATCCAATATGTTGAATTAGAAAGTGTTTAGACAATCTTTAGATTATGAATCTCAAAATAGAATTAGAATTGGAACTTTTCATATCACTACTATCAGATCAACCTTTTCAACTCTTACAACATTTGCAAGATTATCCTTAAGATAAAATTGGACCCTCTCAAAGAAGAAAATGTCCATGCTACAGTCAACTCAAACAAGAAAACCTTGAAGATGATGCTTGAGCTTTGGTCATTCCATTGCAAATATGAAATTGATGCTCTTTATAGAGCTTAGAATTAAAAAGGGAATTGATGTTATAGACATCTAATAAGAAGATTTTTAAAATATCCTTAAAATATCTTAATAAGTTTTAAAAGATTCTAAAAGATTTCTAAAATATTCTAATAGATTCTAGAAAATTCTTGGAGAATTAAGGAAGTTGTCTAAGAAGCTTTTTAGAGTTGCTTCATCTTCAAGCAACTTTCTAAGATTGCTTTGTCTTCAAGCAACATAGAAACTTCTTAAGAATCTTTCTAAAGTTGCTTCATCTTCAAGCAACATGGAAACTTCTCGAGGAGCTTTCTAATACCTAGTATATATTAGAGCCAAGGTTGAAGAGATCTTCAATCTCAACAATATATGTTTTAGAGCTTTAGTTTACTTTTCTTAGTATTAATCTTGTACTCATCTAATTTAATCAAGTTCTTGTTAGTTTTTTTGTTGAAATTCTTCTATTCAAATTCTTGTTTGGTCTCCTATACAATGTATCCTTGACAATACCATTCTAGTAGATAAAATATTAACTACACATTATGTATATTATGGAAATATCACCATATTGTGTTAAATCTAGCATAAAAACATAGCCAATGTTACATATTTCTACTAGTATATATATATATATATATATATATATATATATATATATATATATATATATATATAAGTATAAATATATATATATATATATATATATATATATATAAGTATAAATATATTCATATTTAAAATAGATAAAAATTATTTTTAAAAGTTTAAAATATTAAAATAAAATCTATCAAAATGAAATGATATTAATCATTTTAAATATAAAAATTAATCAATTTTTTATAGTAATTATTTTAAAATGTTGTAAATGACTTGCATATATAATTAAAATAAGCAATCAAATAATAAATGATAAATAATAAAAAATAAAAATAAAAATAAAAATTTAGAATAAAATAATTTAAATTAAAAAATTAAATATAAATATTTTAAAAAATCACCAAATATGATATTTTTAAGGATTTTTTTATTCCAAATTAGATATTTGAATTTCAAAGATTTTATAAAAACAAAAAAAAACGAATTATATCTATAATAATTTTAAAGAAAAATCTCAAAAGAAATTCATGGTTTGTTTGTCAAAGTATCTAGTACATTCTTTTCTAATTTAAATATTTCTTTCTAACTTAGATATTAAATATTATCACTAACATCATTTCTTATCAAAAAGCTCCAAATACTCCAAATCCAATATTTCTTTCACTTAGGAAAGCATCAAAGAGAATAAATGGATGAAAAGAACTAACTTTAAAACCTGCTACAAGTAAGAAGAAAATTGCTCTAAAATCTTCATAAAATGCAACCAAGTAATGTGCTAGGAGGAAAAAAAAAAAAAAAAAAAAAAAAAAACTTAAAAAAAGACAATTAAATCTCATGCAAGAAATGGCCGTATTACATTCATTTTCACAAATAGGAGGATTATAAATAAAGCTACAAAATTCAATCTAGGTGAACAAAATGTAGAAGAGTAACCCACCGTATCCCTCAAACTATGGTTTTCTATTTACTTTTGTATACCTAAAACACAAAAAAAAAATATATATATACAAAAGTGGGGGGACATACATTCAGGATAACTCACAGACACATGCAAACCTCGCAATGTGGGTGGATTTGGTGGATTCCTCAGGATTGAAGCCACAAGAAGGAGCAATCCACCTCCACAAGATCTGCAACGCGAGAGGCGCTGGCTGGTGGGAGAGAGCGGGATTCCGGCGCTTGTAAGTGTGATTGCGGAGCGACCCAGTTGAGAAATTGCTGGCTTTTGGTGATTGTTGGAGCTGTTTCTGTGCAATTCGAGGTACCCAATTTTGCAAAAGCTTGATTGGTTGAGAGGGGAAATGGGTGCAGGAGTGGGTGGAAAGGGTTGCAGCAGCAGCAGCAGGAGCAGCGATGATGGCCAGAGCGGAGAGCGTCGCAGTGCAAGCTCTGCGAAATGTGATGCAGCGCGTGAGTCAAGCCAGCGAGCGTGCTAATCGGCCCGCCTCCCAGGTGCCGTCTCGTTACTGCGCGAGATTGCCCTCCTGCTTCTCTGAATTCCAACGGCAACCCCAAGTGTGACGGTTAGTTTTGCTCTGTAACGACCTCGTGTTCCAGTGCAGGTGCGACTTGTGGCGGTGAGCAAAACGAAGCCGGTGGAACTGGTTCAGGAGGTTTACGATGCTGGGCATCGACACTTCGGAGAGAATTATGTGCAAGAACTTATTGACAAAGCCCCTCAGGTATTCTTGGTTTGGGACCTCTTCGTAAATTTCGCTGATTTCTGTTCTTATTTTTACGATCTCTTCATGGGTTGTGCCTGTAAATAAGTTTAGGTTTCACTATCCCGCTAGACCTAATTGATTCTTCGGCATGGTGTGGTGCATTTCTCCGTGGAAAATCCGTGTGACTCAATAATAACCTTGCATGCGCAATCCCCGTGGAAAATTGTTGCGAATCGTGTTCTGGACATTGTTCTGCTGGTTAGGATTTCTGATATCTTTACTATTGAGCCTGAAGTTGGAAAGTATGTGTCTGTGTATGTGTATGTGTGTTGTATAAGTTTTCTAGGTTGGTTTAGAGATTATGAACGTTCTGATCACATATTGAACTCACGGTTGTTGGTCTGAGTAGTTACCCCAGGACATCAAGTGGCACTTCATCGGACATCTTCAAAGTAACAAAGCGAAAGCTCTTATCAGTAAGATCCTCTTTCTACATTCAGCGAAGGGTTTCATGATCCCCAGAGGGGCATTCTCTACATTTCCAATGCATACTATTGAAGGACAACGCGCATGTCACCGATTGTGCACATTGTTTAGCAAAGTCTCTCTTTCCAGTGGTTGTGTGTCTTAGAAAGCATGATTAGCGGTGAAATATTTTCCCAGAATACAGTGGCTTTTCTCAGGTTGCTGATTCGCACTTTTGAGGCTGATGTTTCTGTTCCTGAACTTCAGCCAGCGTTCCGAACCTGTACATGGTAGAAGGCGTTGACAGCCAGAAGGTACGTTTTTGCCTCTTAAATTATTTGTTTATCATTTATTATCGATTTGACTTTTATTTAACTTCAAATGGTAAAGAGATCCGAGAATCGTTCATACTAAGACCAAAGCACCGGATAAGACATATTTACACATGAATGTATGTGCTGTGAAGTTTAGTGTTGAACAAACTGTCATATGCTTGATACGATGTATATGTGAACTACATTTTTGCAGGTAGCAAATCACTTGAATCGAGCGGTGAGTGGACTTGGAAGACCACCTTTGAGTGTCCTTGTGCAAGTGAACACCAGTAGGGAGGAATGTAAGCATCATCATTTTCCTCGTTTTTTCTTGGGAATCCTCAGAAAGATCAGGTTCTAAGATGGCGTATTTGTCTGACAGTGTTACAACTTTGGTTCCAAAATTTAACTAGGTTCAAAAAAAAAACTAATTAGCGTCGTAAGAGAGGGCTGTTTCTAAGATGGCGTGTTTGTCTGACAGTGTTGATTGTTCTTGTTTGTGACGGCAGCTAAATCAGGAGTGAATCCTTCGGAGTGTGTGGATCTGGCAAAACACTTGAAGGAAGAGTGCCCAAATCTGAGATTCTCAGGATTGATGACCATCGGCATGCTTGGTTACTCATCCACTGCTGAATTTTTCAAGGTAGTTGTTCGCTTGCACTTGAAAAACATTTGGTGATTACATTTGTTTCTTGCTGAAGCCCTACATGCCTGCATTTTTGTAAATCTGAAGTTGTCATTTCTGAGTCCCCTTTTCCAAGAAGCCCCTGTCTGATTGGCCTACTACCAGGGTCATGTCTAAGTAATTTCGTGCTGGACACAGACTCTGGTGAATTGCAGGGAAAAAGTGTGTAAAGAGCTTGAGATTCCAGTGGAGGAATGTGAGCTATCCATGGGCATGTCGGGGGACTTTGAACTTGCCGTAAGTCCTCTTACAAAACCTGGCTCTCTCATTCATCTTAAGCTGTTGCACCTGGCAAGGTCAGAACCGTCATTCACACTGCCGATAACATGTCCGTGGCTGCGTTTAGCTTACTACTGTTACTTGGATTTCAGATTGAGATGGGAAGTACGAACGTGAGAGTTGGATCTACTATATTTGGAGCACGATCATATCCAGGGAGACAGTAATCCTGAGCTCGACCGCTACTAGCACTATTGGCAATTTTGTTTGCCCAATATTGTTTCTGGATAAGATTCTTATCATCAGATTCTTATCATATTAAACATTATCAAGCGTTCATTTTCTCACCGTACCCAAAAAGTATTTGAAAATAAAATTTGGAATTCCGGACATATCTTTTGATTTTTTGAAATCCGATTCTGCCAATTGAATGGGAGAAAGTGCTTTTCTTGATTAGCACTCTACTTGATGTAGCATTGGCTGTGAATTTTCTTAATGAATCCATGCCGAGGCTTCAATAAGCTCATTGCTAAGCTCTGGTAGCAATTCTCCGACACCATTGGAATAAATGCTTAGCTTTCTAGGCAAGAGTAACCGCTGCTATTTGTGCGTCGTTGGGGGCAACAGATTCGACTGATGATCCCCATGGTTGGTACCTCAGTGGCGAAATTCATTCCCAAGCCAGGCTCGACGCAAACCATCTTATATTGTTTGTATCATGCCCATTTCCTCGCAAGTGCTTCGTATCTGACCTGCTTATAAACGGCTACCGGTGCTAAGAATGTGTGTATTCTGATGTTGCGTGGGTGCTTGCACCAACACAGTGAATTGATCACTAAGCAAAGCATCCTAGATCAGTAAAGAAAATCGCTTGGAAAATTAGAGTTTTATCGTCGCTGGAGCCTCATACGACCAACTGGGAAAAAATAAAAGAAACAAAGTTGGGCCAGGCAGTTCGGTGACAGCAAATTGGGGGCTCAACTGATTCGGAATCCAGTTATTTTCTTGATTGCAGCGACAGAATCAACAACTAGAATTCGAGTGTCGGCAGCTCTGATCAAGGAATCACTACTTGTCTTATTCCTTTCTGTAGAGTTTGGAAAACACTTCAATTTGTACAAGAACTGAAACTTGTTGCAATTTAAGAAGAACAATGATTCTTTGTAAAAGTATTGGATTTTTGTTTGATTGTACATTTATTCATTTTTGTTGTTGTTGGATGTGGTTAGTATCCAAGTTGTATTGTGGATTTTAAAGACTTTCTAGTTAAGATATAGTTTTATCTTTATTTTTTAAATTTGGAAAAGTGTTGTAGTATTTGGGTACAACACTTGTAATAAAAAGTGTCACAAAAATCTAGGCTATTAAGATAAATAAAAGTAGGTAGGAACATCATGTGAAAGATTATATGTTTCTCAAGAAACATCATGTGAGCTTTTAAGATGTAGATTAGATTTTAAGATAGCCTTGGAGGTAACATGAAATTTTAGAAACTTTGAGGAGGAGTTATCTGCAATTTTGACACTTGGCACATCCTTAGGAAGCTTCTATATGGCCTTCTAAATAGCAAGAGGCATGATTTAGGCTTTCCTTAATCTTCTTGACAATTTTTTGATCTTCTCTTTAAATTTAAGTTTTTCTAGTTTCTTTGTATTTAGAAAATACTACTCTAATACCTTACAAATATATATATATATATATATATATATATATATTTGCTTTATATATAAACATATTATACCACATAAAATCTATCTAGACTTATGTCTTTGACAAATAATGTCTACTATAGATAGATATTTTTTATTCAAAAATTTTATTTTTATTTTTAGATATTATGTCTTTTCTATCTAAATTACTTAAGCAATTTTTAATTTAAGTATTATATTTATTTTTGGACTCCAATTTATATATAATTAAATTTTATAATAGTGATACATTAAATATATCATTGGTTCATTTAAAAAGTTTGAAACGAAATAAATAGTGTCTATTTATTTCACGAATTTAAGTAAAACAAAATTTAAGTAAAACTTAACCAAAAAAAAAAAAAAAAAAAAAAAAAAAAAAAGAATTACCATTGCTACTTTTTTAGACATAGTAAATTCTTCAATTATATGTGTTTATATATATATATATATATATATATATAGATCTTTATATAACCTCTTAAATCCTTCAGATTCTCTAATAACCTCTTAAACCCATCTATATTCATTTATGACCATCTAAAAGTGTGTAAAATTTTATCAAATTTTCTTATTTAAATTAAAAATTTATATATATTCCAACTTTCAAAATCTCCTCTAGAAGATTCTATAGAATATATATATAGTAAGATAAGAAATATCTTAAGCTTACTAGTATAAGTTTTAGAACAATTAAAGTGGTAAGTTATTTGAAGCCTTCTATATAGTTTTGTTTATAACCTAATCTTTTATTTTTTATTCTACCCCTTGATTTCTTGGTTTTCTATTCTTCAAATTTTGAAAATGATGATATTATTACTAAAAATGCTATATCTTCTTAAAACAAATGGATCTTCTTATTTCTTAAAAGATAATAATCTATTTTAAAGAATATAAATTAATTACTTTTAGAGTATATTTTTTCTTTTAAAATTATATATTTAGAATATATATATATATATATATATATATATATATATATATACATATATAGTTAAAAAAATTACTTAAATCTTTAAAAATTATTCTTTCTATATAAAAATTCTTGAATTAATAATATAAAAATAAAAAATTATTTTCTTAAAAACACTAGAATATTGTAAAAGAACAAGATTTTTGTTAAATAATATTTTTAAAAGAGTTTAATATTTATAATACTTTATTCATATTTATCAAAATAGAAATATCTTAAAATTATTTGTAGTATTACATAACATATAAATATTAATAAAAAAAAATTGAAATATCCAATTTCATATTCTTTGATAAAAGCTATTCAATGTGTTGTAAATAGGATAAAAAGATAATTTTAAAATCCTTCATCAAATATCAAAAGAAGAAGATTTGAAATATATATATATATATATGTGTGTGTGTGTATGTGTGTGTGTGTGTGTATAATATTAAAGTTTTTTTCTTACAAAAAAAATATCAAAAAATACTATTTTATATACTATTAATACCATATAAAATTTAAAAGATCTTTTAATAAGATAATTTAATTATTTCTTCTATTATTTAAGCTAATTTAGTAAATATAAATCATATATAAATTTTTTACTTGCACAATTTTAGCTTGAATTTTATCATATTAAAAATCTTCTTAATATATATATTAAGAAGACTAAAATGTCCAAAATTATGTATATTTAAAATTACCTAATGAAACTTTATTTTCATGTATTCTTATTATTATAAAAAGCTATCTAGATTTTTTGTTTCAGACTTGGTAGTATATTACAAGATAAATATTCTTAAAAAAGCTATTGTCAAAGACAAGAACTTAATAAAAATAAATAAACACGTGAGACTTCTCTCAAAGAAAGATGAAAAAATAGAAATAACTCAATATATATATTAAGAAAGAAACTGTAATGGCTATTGCCAAAAGACAAGAAAACTAGAAATCCTTGAAAGTAGACTAGAAGCAAGAAAGGAATTGACAAGAGTGAAGAAGACTTCACTCTTGTCTCTATATATACTATCTAATTAGGAGCTACATGGCAATGTTCTATAGGACCTCCAATATATATTGACTTTGTAGGACACATGCCTTGACTTACAAGGCAAGTTTTTCTATGTGGGGGCCATATAGTTAGCTTGGTCTTCAAGCTAACATGTGTAGCACATGCCCAACTTGTTGACCACGTTTCTAATCCAAAAAATCAATTAAAGACACCTATAAAGTCAAAGCAGTGTCTAGGAAGCTTCTAAAAAGCTTTCATAGCAAATATTATAGAATTAACTTACTTTTACCTACTTTTACTTACTTCAACCTATTTATACATGTAATTACTGGCTTACATGCGTATGTCTATAATAGCTATCTACCAACAACTTAATTTTTAAAAATTCATATCTATATATATATATATATCTATATATATATATATATATATATATATATATATATTAAAGCTTATAAAATCATTTATATATAATTTAAATGTTTATATTTATAATTTTATAGTTGTAATATTATATATATATATATATATATATATATTTATATTCACTCACATTATTTTTACTAAATATATAGTCTATTATATAATCTAATCAACACACTAATAGAAGTTTGTGAATAATTTAACATCTTTATAAATCAAAAAATATGTATCTGTAGAAAAGTAAATGTCATATTATTCAAATGAATTGTCTTTAAATTAAAGCCTTCTATTATGACGTGTATAAGAAGGATATATATCCGTACATATTGTCACGGACATACTTAAGTAAGCTAGTAATTACATATACAAATAGATAAAAGTAAGTAAAAGTAGATAAAAGTAAGTTAATTCTATAATATTTGATATGGAAGCTTTTTAGAAGCTTTATAGATGCTGCTTTGACTTCATAGATGTCTTTAATTGACTTTTTGGATTAGAAACGTGGTCAACAAGTTGGCCATGTACCACACATGTTAGCTTGAAGACCAAGCTAACTATGTGGCCCACACATAGAAAAACTTACCTTGTAAGTCAAGGCATGTGTCCTACAAAGTCAACACATATTGGAGGTCCTATAGAACGTCGCCACATAGCCTCTAGTTAGATAGTATATATAGAGACAAGAGGGAAGCCTTCTTCACTCTGGTCAACTCCTTTCTTGCTTCCAGTCTAGTTTCAAGGGTCTCTAGTTTTCTTGTCTTTTGGCAATAGCCATTCCAATTTCTCTTTCAATATACATACTTGTTTATTTATATTTTGCTACCTTTCTTTGAGTGAAGGCTCACTTGTCTGAATTGCTTTTTCATCGAGTTCTTGTCCTTGAAAGATTGATAAGAGTACACCTATAATATCTGAGCTTTGTCTAATCTTGATTAAGAATGGATTACCTCTTTTTTTTTATAAGATATAAGCATATTAGAAGTTGCGGATTACCCTCTTCTAAACTGGTATTGTTTTTAGTATTTTCTTTGTTCTCAAGTCCTCTCCTCCATTTGTCTTGAGTGATAATAGATATCTTCTCTTTTTTAAGTGTTATCATGGCAGAACTTGTTGAAATCAAGAGTGCAATGGCACAAATGCAAGAGCAATTGAGGGAGTTAATGCTTGTGATGTATCAACTCAATTTACCACCACAAGGAGCAACAAGATTGGCAGGTGTCAAGGACAAGAACTCGATGAAAAAATAGTTCAGACAAGTAAGCCTTCACTCAAAGAAAAGTAACAAAATATGAATAATAAGTATATATATTGAAAAGAGAAACTAGAATGGCTAT